ATAAAAAGAAAGCAATAATAGAAGATAAACAAAAAAGGATCGATCAGCTAAAACAAGAACAGCAGATAATAACCGATATCAACGTCAAATTTGCACAATTTTTGAGGCAGAGCGCGATAGCCATTTTCAATAATGTATATGCAGACTACCTAGATCATTTCATTGAACAAGAAAAAATTAAGAAGTGTGTCGACCCTGATAATTACGATGACGAAATCCTCAAAGGAATTGAAACATCAAAAATAGTATACATGGAAAAAATAGAAGCTATAAAAAAAGCAATCGAGAATAACGATCCTTCGGTACCTCCAATCTCACCAGAAGATATATCCAATCTTGAAGAGCAATTGTATACTTTACCAATCAACGGTCAAACGCTAAAAAATATTAAAGATGGAGCGGAGCGTGGTTTAACTAATGTATTCAGGTATGAAGAAAAGTCTTATTGGAGATCATTATCAGGCGAAGGAAGATTTATGAATAGGTTTATAAGATTTATACGATCTTTTTAGGGATTACATCAATAGTATTTTATCTTTCGACTTGTATTTAACATTTCATTTGATAACTTTAAAATACCCTTTTTTTTCTTTTGTATTTGTCTTTTAAGTGAGGAATTCCAGTACAAATATATATATAATTTTTAAATAACTATCGGCTTCGGTTTTTGTTTTTAAAGTTTGGTAAATTATTTTCCAAAATTAAATATTCATAACTGCGCCAGATTATGGCAATAATTTATTTCCCTAAAAATAATAAAAGCTTCATTATTCAAAATCTATCAATCTCCTGAAAAACCACAAAAGTCGGCAAGTTTCCTTACCCACTAATTACTATTTGGTAGAATAGACGAATTTTTTAAAGCAATATGTGCAAAATAGCTTGTACACTTTGAACTGAATAATAAAGCGTGACCATAAGCCTGATCACGTGACGATAGAATTTAATGAATCATTCGTGAAAAATATTATACCCCTATAAATTCTTCAGAGAAAAAAATTTTTTTTGTTTTAAAAATATAGTATTTATTTTTATCTTACTTTTCCTTCTAATTCTAATATACCATAATATCCTTGATAGCATTATCAAAATACTTCCATGAAATCGTGTAAGTGGTTAATCCTTTTTTAAATGTTGGTTTTTCGCAAGGAATATATGCGACCTTTGCAATAAAATGCCAGAAAAAATCAAATTTTCTTTTTATATGCCAAATATGATTTTTAAGCTAAATATGTTCAGAATTAGCATTAACTCATTGTTTCCTTGTGTGACTGGTTAGATTAATTTTTTTAATTAAGTTTACCAGATATTATCTTATATTGAACTGAGCTTAAATATGTGTATTTCTCTAATTTATTAATTTATTAACGTTAATTTTTAAAGGGATGAAAACAATATCATCTGTAATCTTTACATATACGAATAACTTTTTATCACATGCCTCTTAATGCTTTTTGATATATGTCAGCCAAAGTGCAAAGAACAAATTTGTAAAATCAAGTAGACAGAAAACATCCTTAAAAAAAATAACTGGTATTAAACGCAAATCAAATGTTTATTTTTTTACCATTCCGAAACCGTCATATTTAGTTCTTGCAATATTAATAAAAATTGCTTTTTTTTAGCTGGATTATGACTAAAATAAGTGAAATCCAAAAATATATGCACTTTGGCAAGCTTAATTGAAATTGTCCTATATTAGGTTCGCAAAGATATTAAAAAAAATTCTTTTATAAAAATCCTCGTTAAAAAAAAACGTTGCTTTTGTAAAATAAACTAGATAACTTTGGTAATCTTGTTAAAGCTATAAAATGTCTTTCCGCGTTCGCTCATATTTCTTTGTTATCCTTTCATAAAAATTAGATATAATTTGAATTTACTATAATTCCTTCAATAATTTATAATGGTCTTCTGTATATAACTTTTTGTTATTATAAAAAATAATTTTTCAAAAAAAAAAAAAAAAAATTTTGAAATTCAGAAATTCAGTTTGTTACACAAAAGTTATCTTTACCCAGAAATTGATAAAACTCCCCAAACGGGACGACGGAACTTTTATATTATCAGATGATCACGGGTATTTGCGACATTTTCGTTTCTCAAAGTCAGGGGGTAATTAAAATTTTGGGTACGATTTTTCGTTATTGTCTTTATTGTATCTAGAAATGGAATCGTATGTACATTTTTTTTTTTTTTGTCATTCATCCGATTGATACTATACCAAAACAGGGCATGTTATCTCCAGATTATCACTAAATGATGAACTCCTATCTTAAGATTTTAGCGAAAAATTTTTTTTAGGTTCAATGGGTGTAAAAATTCTGTGTTTCATAAGGTTGATCGATAATGCCATCAGGACAAGAAAATTTTTGAAAATATTTTTTTAGTATATTGGCAATACAATTTATCTAAATGCATCTTAAACGCGATTATTATCAATTGTCTTCACATTGTCTTTTGCTTTACCAACAGATTAAGATGAATCTTTGAAAATTTGTCTCAAATCATTAAAACTACGCTAGAAGGATTACGATATTTTTTTTTTAATGATAAGTTAGAAAAAGAAAAATATAGATATATTAACGTCCATTTACACCGCAAGAAAAAATTAAAGAATTTCGACCCTAATAAATAGGTTTACGAAATCCTCGAAAGACACTTTTTTTTCTTATATATTCCTCATAGGAAGATTTTCACGAGCAGATCTAATATTTTAATTATTTATACGTGACACGTGATAAAGTATTTTTATTTACTGTATTATCTTTGAAATAAATTGTAATAGGCACATTATTTTCTCGGGTGGGTTGGCTTATGAAAAAAATCATCTCCTTCACCATCATTATTTAAAACAATACAATGTTTTACCCAGATTTATTCAATCTAATATAACAAATCATAATATGGAGTGGAGTCATCAATGAAGTTTCAAGAATGAGCGGTCTTAATGAATATCAGTTTAGGAATTTATAGAGGAGAAACACATTCACTAACCAGAAATTAGGGTATTAGCATGAATATATGTGTATATTCTGGCGTTGATGTATCTTTTCTAGCTATAAAAACATCAATATGATTCCGATTAATTAATTAATGAATAGGTTCGTGATAAATCAACTCGTGAACTCACTCTACAAAACTATATATATATATATTTTTTTTAGATACGACAAACATACCAAAAAAAGAAAAGTTACACAATCTGAGTTCAATCTGCATATTTGTATTGAAACTTTATTTATAATGATTTAGTAAATTCCTATAATAGAAGGTAAAGATAATATGTAAAAATCTCTCCACTGGTTTGACAATTAGACACAATGAATAATCGGGGATTACCCGAGAATATAATATTCCGAAAATAATTATAAAAAAAGATGGATTTTTCCAAAGAACCGGATGTTGTAAATAAAAGATATATATATATATATATTTTTTTTAATCGAAATTTCATAAAATTTTTCAGAAAAATTGTAAAATGATGAGCTATTATTCCATTGAGGGTTCACTATTCCATCCAATTTCTGTATGCGTAATCTTTTTGATTATTTTGTATATTATAAGACGACCTCGCATAGGAATAGTAAGTAACATAGTCCCGGTTTATAAATTCTTTTAATACACATTAAATTTGACCTTACTTTTAAATAGAATGAACCACCTTTTGTACCTTACGCGATTCCAATTCTTGGACATACATATAATTATTTAATTCACACGAAACGCTTTATTAAAGAATGTAAAGAGCAGGTAAACTATTAATTCAACAATATGACTTTTTCTTTTTTTTTTTTTTTTAAAAAAAAAAAAGATTGTGAACTTAACGTACCCTTTTCTTAGTATGGTGACAGTTTTTCGATTTATGTATTCGGACGTATCATTACGATAGCCGCAAGAAGTTCGTTGAATGAAGTATTTAAAAATCATGAAGACTTTGGTAGTACAGTTCCTGAGGTATAATAAGGTTAATATCTAAGCTAATAAATTTGAACCTTGCTAACACTGTAATTCTATTATTGTATTATAGTCGATTCCTTTTCATAAGTTGTTCCTTTATAGCAATGGTTTAAGTAAAGAAGTACTTCGTTTTAATGCTAAGATTACCAGAGAAGAAATTTCCGCCAAATTTGATGTTTACGCCCCAATCATACAAAAATATATCTCGAAAGGGATCGATAAATGGATTGGGAACTGTGAAGGTGTGAATCGGACACCGCAGCATTATTTACATTTTTTTTTTTTTTTAAATTTATTAAAATATCAAGTAATTTATTTAATTAATTCTAGAGCCAAAAGTCTTTTATGATACTTGGATGAGAGCTAATAATATAATCGCTTTACCGATTGCTAATATATTGGTTGGAGAGGTATTTCTATATTTATTTATTTATTTATTTTTTTTATTTATTTTATTTATTTTTTTAAAATTTAATTTCAAAATTTTTTTTTCAACAAAATATTAGAAAGCGGCGACTCATGATCTAGTAAATTCATTAGCGAATTGGTCTTTTGATTTGGGCATATTGGTAGCACTTCCACCAATATTTTCTTTCATCCATCCGAAACTTCACGAATTCCTAGTCACGTAAGTACGATGTTACTCTGCATTACCTTCCGATTATGATGTTTAAAAAAAAAAAAATTTTTTTTTTTTTTTTAATAGATTACCTATAATATTGGGATGGAATCCGATAACATCTCATCGAAAAGTTATCATAGAAAATGTGGGACCAATAATCGAACGACGTCTCAACGAGAAAAAAGTATGGGGCGCGAATTATAAACCTAGTGTAAATAAAATTTCTTTTCAATAAAAAACTTTTTTTTTTTTATATGTTGGTTACATTTTTTTTTTTCATTTAGAATGACCTACTTGAATATTATATAACTCAACCGGATTTCGTTAATCGATTTCAATATTATATTGACACCTTATTTATACTAACTTTTGGTGCAATCGGAACAACAAGTAGAGCAACCACCAATGCATTATTCGGTAATTATAGTTTGAACCATTATGTGAAATAAATGAATTACACCCCCTTAAAGAATTGATTTTGCAACCATTTTTTAGATTTGGGGGGTAGACCACAATTCATGAAGGAATTATATGAAGAAGCATTACGAATTGATAAAGAGTGTAATGGATCACCTAAATTATCCGACCTAAAAAAGATGAAAAAGTTGGATAGTTTCGTTAAAGAATCTCTTAGGCATACTGATGAAATAGGTGGGTACTTGAAAAAGATTTCCGTGAATTGAAAAAGTATATCTCACTTATCTAATATTATTTATTAGTCAACCTTCCTCATATTGTTGAGTCAGAAAGTTACACTTTCTCTAATGGTTACACAATTCCAAAAGGTAATTATTCAAATTATTTTTTTTTTATATTCTTATTTAAAAATATGATTTGATTAAATTTTCCTTTTTTTATATATATATTATATGTTTGTAGGACGCACTGTAAAAATGTACATGGAAGATTTATTAAAGTCAAAAGAAGCGTATG